TCTAGAAAAATGTTTAAAAAATAAAAAATAAATTTTTTTTTTTTTTAATTTCAAAAATATCAGAGGTAAGAAATTAATCTCACCATAAGTAACGTCAGCCATTATGACAGTATCAGCATCGGTAAATTCCTCAATTATATCACTTATTCTACAAGCAAACATTGTTAATCCATCTGGCATCTGCAGAGCGACTCTTTTTGCTTTACTCTCCCTTATTCTCCAGATAGTTTTATGAATCTCAAAGTTATAATTTTCTGGAAGGCACTTGATGGCTTCATTAATATTAGGATCATCCAATATTTCCTGTGGTATTTTATTAAGCCTAACTGGACCCTTGACAATTTTTCTAATGGGCTTTGCCTTTACAACTACCGCTTGTTCTTCATCTTTTTTTTCCACAGGCTTACTACACTCAGCCACAGCTTCAGAACTACTCAGACTTATAGCACTGACTTTGGTACTACAAGCAGTCACTGTCCGATCATAATCTGTCATTTGTTGATCACTACTACTGGTCGTTGCTTCGTTTTTATCATTTATCATTTCAGAGCAACAAGCACTGGAACCTCCATCATTAGCTGTTTTTTGCATGCAACATGCAACAGTATTAGGCATACTTTTCTCTTTCTCCATCTCTGCACACCCGTCAACACTACTGACGATTTTGTTATCTTTACCCTCATTCATTGTCAAAAATACATGGGTACACGACAAAAAATATTAAACTGCAAAATAAAAAAATTCTAGGTTAAAACGGAACGTACACAACAAAAGCACTAATAAAATCACGAAAAATCGTAATGCCTTCGCGACTGAATCACGCTGTGTGTCGGGTATCGGCTCTTTCGTGCGACTAAATAAAGAGTTTTGGCGTACGTGAGGTCACAAAAGGGCAAAAAGACTTACAGTATAAGTAGGTCTTACCGAGATTTGAACTCGGATCGCTGGATTCAAAGTCCAGAGTGCTAACCATTACACCATAAGACCGTGTGCTTCATATTTCAATTTTTGATCATCATTTTTATCACCTTTACGATGAACCGAAATTGAAGCTGTTGTCTCACTCAGATGTCCTGTAACAGTGTATAAGTACACAAATTGTGATTGTTTACAAAAACTGGTCCTACGTGTCCTTTTAAATTGGAAAAACACTGCACATAATATATATGATTCACATATACGCTAAGTACTTAAGGTCGATTTTCATGAATACCAGTGTGTTCAGCGTTCCAGTCACCCAGATGATAAATAACAACTGTTGGTAAGGTAGTCTATAGTGGCAATTTTTGTGGACAAAATTATTTAGTCGAATGTGTTTAATTTTCGGCTACAAGACTAACAAGACGCCAAAAATGAACAAGTACAACTCTTTCAGGTTTAAAAATTAGACGTTTATGCCCGTATGATTAATAAACAGCACTTGTTTTTTCTAATTTTCTGTCACACAAGATCAAGACGTAATATAGAATCCGCGCTAGACGCTAAAAAATAGGGCCCATGAAAACGGCACTTGAATGATCCCATCTGATAAAAAAGAGTGATTGGAGTAGAATGATCCAATAAGTTCAAATTTTCGTTCTTTTTTTTACTTTTTTTAGGGTATTAATTTACTGCACCCTCAGTAAAAAAATAGGGTTATTTCATACTTTAATTCAATCATAATAATAAATCATAAAACGTAAGGATATAACTACTATCTAATAACATGAAAAGGAGAAAATGCTTAAATGACTGAAAAATCATGTGACTGCCCCATGATGGTATTATTATAATCTCCGTACTTATTTTTTTGGTGATACTTTAAATAAATAATGTGTTTAAGCAAACATCAATAAACTACTAAAAAAAGATCTTTTTGAAATGACACTCCTGCAGGGGGTAAAAAGTACAATCATTCCAAGTTGCTGACTATGTTCTTAGAAATTGTATCTGCTCCATTGATCTTAAAACACGATGTACATAAGTATCCATACTAATTTGATGCTTTGTAGTATAAAAATAAAATAGTTCATCTTCTTGAACTATACGTATCTAAATATTTTGATAACAATAGTTTTGTTTCTTATGCTTTCATATACTGCGTGCCTACATCATAGTCATCTAATATTAGGTCAAGTCACGAATCCCGAGACAGCTTACTAATAGCCTAATTTTAAGAAATTAGGTATTGAAAGTGTAAATAATATACACGTCACCAACGGTAACTTTGATACTTTCGAAACTGACTCGATAGTCGAGTTCGAAAAAAAAAATTGATAACGAAATTTTGGTTTCTTATAAAAATTTTTATTTATATCTAAGATCACACATACAATTTAGCTTGAGTAATTCAGTATTCAACCCCAATCTAATATTTTTATCAGGAAGAAATTGAATAACAGTAGATTATACGATGATAGTTCTATTTTTTATATGTTATAATATATTGCATATATTAATTTAACATTTGCAAATTTTTTTGCATAGCATTTTTCTTTTTTAATTCTTTGTTTTTACTTTTTTTCTGTAATAATATTCATGCTGATTTAAGCTATAAATATGCATCAAAGAAAGTATGTCGACCGAAAATAAGGAAAATCTAAAAAAGCATGAAGCAATACTTTTATTTAAGTATAGTCAATAACTGCCGTTGTTAATGTTACTAAAGATATTGAATGCAACTAACGTTTAGTTCCAGAAGTAATGGTCACTCTTATTTTAAAAAAAAGAGAAATAAAAAAAGTGACGAATATGTGTCGTGAACTAAGAATTTTCTATATTCGTTGAGGTAGTTCTATCATGACTCTCGAATTCAATGTCGACAAAATTCTAAATTTTATTTTATTCAAATAGTTTTTAAAACTTTTTTATAAAATTTCGAAATGTTTATCGTATTGCTAAAGACGAATTTTTTTAGATTAATATACTTGTGTCTCATATCATGTGGATATTAATCTAACTCTTTTTAATAGGCTATCCCTCTATTACGTAGGGCTTGTTCGAAAAGAATAGTGACCACTACCATTCCTCACAATGAAAAGTGGAAAATTCCAAAAAAAACCACTTCCTCTTTTCAGATAACGTAAAATCTTCAAACAAATTATGATGTATATTTATTTTTTTACCAATATCTTATCATTTTTAAACGTATAATTGAATCCATACTAATAAAATGTATCGATTCGAAATCACGAAAACTGTTTAATCTCAAGTATAACCAACATTTTCATTAAGGCATAATTGTTTTACTGACCTGAGCGCACTTTAAACCACGTTCTCATCGAGCAACTTGACAACAGTTGGTTTTGAATAGGAAATGAAAATAATACGTAACATATGTTTACGTTTATATAGCTCATGTCAACGCACCCAAGTAATCCTCGTACTGTTCTTTTTTCCATAATTACCCTCCTTTACCGAAATATGCAAGTCTTTTGTGTGGGCCACTTGCAAAGTCCCCCTCAGACGACTCAGCCATCCATCCTACTGGGTACTATTTACAGGGTGTGGCAATTGTCTCAAGCATACTCCAGCTATTATCAAGTTTAATAAGAATATATTTTTCAATAAACCGTCAAATACAGTGTACCTACCTTTTTTAAAATTCAATACCTTGTGATTTCATCCGGTGAGCTAGCCAGGTGTTGGGTTTCCTTCGAAAATGAAGCCCCTGGAGATCCAGACATCAACAGAAAAAGTGCATTATCCGTTTAAAAAAATCGAAGATGTGGTTTTTCAACATCTTGGGTACTCATCTTATCGCAAAAACGCGAGAAAACATCTTCGATGATTTTTGATGGGATTCAAATCCCACGATCCCTCGAGTTTCTTTGGTTGGGAGGCTAGCACGCTATCCGCTTATCCATCACACCTCCAGTCCTTTTGTATTTGAAACCAATAGTTCTGAAGATGGCCGATGGACGCTATTTGGAATTGCGCTCGAAGCCAATAAAGTTCTTAAAAAGTAACTAATCTTGTTAAGTTATTTATTGCTCTTTTATAAGTGTTGTGTGCTTCATTCTGTTACCCAGTAATTTTCAAAGCTTTTTGCAAAAAATCTACAGTTTTCGAGAAAAATGTTGCTATCAATGACAAAAGCTCCGTGTTTACTTTTTGTATTTTCTTACAGAAAGTTTTATTAGAAATTTTTAAAGATTTCTTAACTTAAAACAGTATTTTATTAATAAAATTTTTCCCTAGTATCACATGGACCTAACTTATACTCTAATTTAAATTACTTTTAAGGAAATGAAAGGTTCTCTTTTCTCCAGAAAGTCTTAGATAGTTTAAGATTGGTTCAAAATGAAAAATATGGTTCGATATTTCAATGGATTTTTAACTCCTTGTGTGTGTATACAAGCATATTTTGAAAATCGGTTAATTTACAATGTTTCTGTTTTATATGATCTCTCAGTCCTCTTTATTTAATTATTATACTAAAAATTTTTTTTTCTTTATTGCTTGTTACAAAATAGTTTTTTTGTTTTTATCCGTTTTTTGTCTAATAGATCGTAAAATATCTTCTTAACGAAAAAATATTAAAAAGAATCATAGAAAATGTTATTTTTTTGGTGATACTTTAAATAAATAATGTGTTTAAGCAAACATCAATAAACTACTAAAAAAAGATCTTTTTGAAATGACACTCCTGCAGGGGGTAAAAAGTACAATCATTCCAAGTTGCTGACTATGTTCTTAGAAATTGTATCTGCTCCATTGATCTTAAAACACGATGTACATAAGTATCCATACTAATTTGATGCTTTGTAGTATAAAAATAAAATAGTTCATCTTCTTGAACTATACGTATCTAAATATTTTGATAACAATAGTTTTGTTTCTTATGCTTTCATATACTGCGTGCCTACATCATAGTCATCTAATATTAGGTCAAGTCACGAATCCCGAGACAGCTTACTAATAGCCTAATTTTAAGAAATTAGGTATTGAAAGTGTAAATAATATACACGTCACCAACGGTAACTTTGATACTTTCGAAACTGACTCGATAGTCGAGTTCGAAAAAAAAAATTGATAACGAAATTTTGGTTTCTTATAAAAATTTTTATTTATATCTAAGATCACACATACAATTTAGCTTGAGTAATTCAGTATTCAACCCCAATCTAATATTTTTATCAGGAAGAAATTGAATAACAGTAGATTATACGATGATAGTTCTATTTTTTATATGTTATAATATATTGCATATATTAATTTAACANTTTCTCATTTCTTATTTTTACGTTCGCAAACTCACCCATATAAGTGTAAATGTATGCAAGTGTGCGCGTATAAATATCAGCAACAGCACATACATAGATATAGTAGTGTATAGAGAAAGAGAGAGCGCGCGAGCAAGCAGAAAGAAAGAGAAAGAAAGAGGAAAGGAAAAGGGAGCAGCAGCTGCAGCACACGGATGGAACAAGTTTTTCGGAAGAGACGCCGAGTTGCTTGCCCCCAAAGAGTTCCTCCGTTGAGCTTCCGTGTAAATCTCTGTTGGCTCCTTTTGATTTGTCGTCACCGATTTTTCACCACATTGTCCGTTACAATGGCATAGCATATTGTCTCTTTATCTCTCTCGTTCCTTCTTTGGTGCGCGTGTAAAGGTGATTATTAGTCTATGGACTCTCTCTCTCTCTCTCTCTCTCCCTCTTGTCTGGCACACGGCGAGGTTAGGAGTGACTTTGCAGTTTGCGCGAGAAAAAAAATCTGCACTTATATATATATATATGGAATTACAGAAGGGTTATATGAGATGAAAGGCTCCGGGTTAGGTTCAAGTGAATTTTTGAAATTTCGCGCGAATATATATCATATAGGAACTAGGATTACTAGGAACCTTTGAGACCGCTGTTGTGTGTCGCCACATTCCAACTAGACAACGAACTTAAAAAAATGAAACGAGGAGGTCATTCTAAGTACTGCAAGAGACAGCAATACGCAATAAGTACCTACCTACGACAACTAAGTACACAGAGCTGACAGAGCTCAAAAAGCACTACAGACACAGACTCTGTAGGACACAGACCATACTTTTCTGTACTACAGAGAACAGACTTGCAACAGAGTACTGTGGAAAATCCCTGAGAGACCAGTCGCAACTTGCAACAACGTTAAAACGTTGAACATTTGTAGAGTGTGGGTAATCGTGTTACGTGGTGTATCGAAAGAAAACTGAGCGCAGTACATTTTTAGGCTAAGTGGTTAACAAATTATTAATCATAGCCTCACCGCCAAGGTAAAAATCGTTGAAGACAACACACGAACAAAGAGGCAGTGTTGGGGTTAGCTCGTGTTATTGAAGGACGATTCGAGAGCATCGTGCAATAATCGTGAAGTCGTGAAGAAGAGCCCCGAGCCCCGAGGGGCCGGAGTTTGATGTGTGTGTGTCAAAGCACACGAAGCGCGATGCTCGTGCTTATTCTGAGCGCTTCGTCCGGTTTCACGACTTTCGAAAGTTCTGAGCGCCAGCGAAAAAGACTTGTTCCTCGGCGCTGAAACTCCACGAACCCGAGAACATCACCAAGGTCAATACACTGTAAGTCTTTAGTTTAGCAGCTCTCTCTGCTGCTCTCCTGTTATCCTCCTCCTTGATGATCGCGTTTAACATACCTGATCGTTCGTGCAGACGTACCTTTTGCCAGGAGTAAGGAGAGAACCTTTTTTTGAAGAGAATTCTTTCTCGCATAGTCAGATATTATATACATATCTTTCTTCTGTTTCTAGGCTCATTCTTTAATGTTAAACTTGTATGTTTTTTTTGCAAAAATTGCAGTTGCCCCCTCCTTCCGCACGTACATATGTATCCAGAGAGCTGTTTTTCTTTCTTTTCGTTCCTCTTCTTCAATATTTGCGGATTTGACGGTATAAATAATAAATTAAGGATGATCGAAATTCAGGAAATGTCATACCTACAAGCCTGGCACTCAGATTAGAATGCATATACTGACATGAGTACAAGTATATGAGATTCTTTTGTGCGAGATCAAGTAATATTTTTTTTCTTCTCCTTAACAAAATGTATGCATAGATTAAATTAGAGCTACTTTTTTTTTTCGTACTCGCAGTAAAAATTTACATCACCTGTTTACTATGATCTGCAATTTGTGAAATAAAGAAACAATACTTGGGTAATATAAAGTTTAAGAAATATTTAAATTGATGCATGTACGATTATCTACATGGGTATGTAGTACTCTAGGTAGTTTCATTTAGGATATTCCTAATCCTAAGTTATCTCTTGTACAGGTAACTTGCCATGACATTTCAAGATAAACGTCATATACTTATAGTGTCATTATTAGGAGTTGTTAACTGTATGTATAAAAGTTTTTTGGAATCAATCGTTTAAACATTTTTTGTTGAATCAAGCCTGGTTGTAACGTGTTTCTTTGCATCTCTCGTTGCTTATTCCACTTATGCCGTTTCTAATTGTGAAGCTGAAATAAAGCTTTGGTGATGGTGAATACTTACTCAATACAATAGGATGTATAATCAATCTAAACACTGCTTTGAAGCCAAACAAAAAATAAGCAATAAAACTTTTATATTAGCAGAAAAAAGAGCTGCGTAAGGTGTAGATAATAGACTTTGACTAAATCTAAAAAATTTTTTTTTCCATGCCTATAAAGAAATTACAAATTACGCTCTCTTTGATCAATTTAATTGTTTACAAAATGTAATGTACATATAGTGTCTGAATATTTTTGGATAACTTTTTTAATTGTTCAAACTATTATGGAACAATACTACTGCTTTCCTTTTCTAAATAAAATTGTGTTCATCAAGCGTCTTCTATTTGATAAACTCACGCTTAAATTTCATCGAAACTATCATAATTCCTCACGAACTGCGTTTACGTCAATCGTATTAGCTACTGTATCCAAAACAGCGCTACTTAATGGTTTTTTTTTTTTTTTTTTTTTTTTTCTATCACGCTCTGATTCGTACAAGTATAATACATGCTGCATGTATATCTTTTTACTTCTGTTTCTATATACCTAAAAGTATATCTATGTATATTTATTTCATCGTGGATGTGCTCCTTTGTTTTTCCCGTTATATATGTTACTTACGTTAATACTTGGAACTGTAATGCTTTGCGAGTCCAAAGTTTGTAAAACGATTAAGTTATTCATTAAAATCCAATCATTAGAATGTTCTAGCTTCGAACTACGTGTAAACCTATTAACAGTTTTTACTCGTTATCTATTTTAATGACGTGATATACACGAAGAAATATTCTTCCAGCGTGTAAAACGTTCACAGTTTCTGTAAAGTAAATACCTACATACGTTGGGAGTCTTGATTTTTTTGCTCGACGATTAAAAGGATTTTCAGGATAAAAATTTAGAGTTTCTTACTATCTGCGTATCCATAGGATGTAAGTACAACAGTGGCATAATTCACTTTTCTCTTCAATAAGTATGTGTATACACGTACTACAGCTTTTACGAGTGCAAAATCAAAAGGTTAGGTTTGATAATTTTTCTTTTTTATTGTTGCCTATCTCGCCAAATCCATCGTTCGATATCGAATGTACTTAAGGGAGAATAAAGCTTCTCAATTTCTCATTTCTTATTTTTACGTTCGCAAACTCACCCATATAAGTGTAAATGTATGCAAGTGTGCGCGTATAAATATCAGCAACAGCACATACATAGATATAGTAGTGTATAGAGAAAGAGAGAGCGCGCGAGCAAGCAGAAAGAAAGAGAAAGAAAGAGGAAAGGAAAAGGGAGCAGCAGCTGCAGCACACGGATGGAACAAGTTTTTCGGAAGAGACGCCGAGTTGCTTGCCCCCAAAGAGTTCCTCCGTTGAGCTTCCGTGTAAATCTCTGTTGGCTCCTTTTGATTTGTCGTCACCGATTTTTCACCACATTGTCCGTTACAATGGCATAGCATATTGTCTCTTTATCTCTCTCGTTCCTTCTTTGGTGCGCGTGTAAAGGTGATTATTAGTCTATGGACTCTCTCTCTCTCTCTCTCTCTCCCTCTTGTCTGGCACACGGCGAGGTTAGGAGTGACTTTGCAGTTTGCGCGAGAAAAAAAATCTGCACTTTAATAATTAATCCTTGAACTTGTATATTCGTTGCTTATTCGTTTTTCAAACAACTGTTCGTCATCCGTTTCTTCTCTCGTGTATGCACTTACTTTGGAGCGATTTGAAAAACATGTCTGTTGATTTCAGCCTTGAGCATTGTCGGACTGCACGGGGTTGACGACAGTTTTTGTGTGTTTGTAAGTAAAAGTACGAGATAGAATTAAAAGAGTTCGTTTTTTGCAAGAGCAAGAGAGCAAACTTGCCGTCAGTCATCCGCTAACGTGCCAAAATAATACCTCTTTTTTAAGAGAAAAGGAGGAAGAGCACAAACGGGAGAAATTAAAATTTCGCAAAATATGTATGTATTTTTTCCAACAATTTGTGTTTTCTCTTATCGTCTTACGCGATAGTATAAGTAGTCAATTTTAGTTTCCGATTCATTTTTGTGGCTCTCCCCTCCCGAAATAAAATGTTTACTTCTATCTTCATGACCTCCAGTTTACAACTGTTGACGTTTTTAATATCGTTTCTTCTGTTTATTTACAGGCTTTAACTTTCTGAAAAACACGCAATCAAAATGAAGATCGATAGGAGTAATCTGAAAAAGTGCATGTTTGAAGTGGTGAGTGATCATTCTCATAGTGGTACCTTGTAATTTTTCGCGATTTAAACAAGGTTGTGTCTCAATTAACAACAAAAATTACGTTTAATTTTAGCCACCAGAGTGCCAAGCCTTGATAAGCAAACTGCGCTCTTGCTCACACTCTGAATTGCTAGAAGAGTTAAAGAAAATAGATGCTTGGACTTTTGGAAAATGCGAGTTGTTACATTGGATCGATGTTTTAGATCTCACTGATAGTGTTCTAGAAGAGGCAGCTACCAAGAGTCCAGATAATCCCTGGGAACTAGCCTGTGATCTTCCTCAAAACAGAGAAGTACACTGCTCAACTGAAAATTTTGTCCATTGTACTTAAAATATTAAATATTTGTTGATTCTTGATTTTTTTTCTTTCAGGCAAAAGAATTGTTACTATGGGTTCTTCATTTTACTACATTGCTAATAGAGCACTCTTTTTCACGACACTTGTATAATAGTATGGAACATCTCGTCACTTTGCTGTCCAGTTGTGACATGCATGTGGTCCTTGGGGTTCTGAAACTTCTGTACATGTTTAGTAAACGAAGTAATTTTATCTCAAGATTAAGTAGCGATAAAAGACAAGCTGTACTTAGTCGGCTGAATCATTTAGCAGAGGTATGTAATGGAAATTATAGTTGACAGAAATTTCGTTACGGAAACTTAAATACTTTTCTTTGGTTTTTTAGAGTTGGGGTGGCAAAGAAAACGGTTTTGGCCTAGCAGACTGTTGTGCGGAACACCCGGAAAAGCCTTTCCCCGTGAGTGCGACAACGTTACACTTTGAATTTTATGCTGAAAGTCCTTCAGCTTCAGATACGTCCAGTGGTACCACTGGTAGTGGTAGCGCCAAAAAGACTGCTCAGACAAATCTTTTAACATATATACACATCGAAAATATAGATAAACTCGGCAAAACCCCTGCGCACATAATGAATGACTTGTTGAAAGTTTATAATGTACCTCAGGACCGACAGGTACTGCCAGAATTCACTCTTCGGTTTTTAAATTAATTTTTTTCATAACATTACAACTTGAGTACATTATTTTTTTCAGGTGGCTCTTTTCACACACATTAGATTAGCTCACAGCTTTTCAGACTATCGTCGGCGCTTGCAATGCATCCAAACTAGGCTGCAAGCTCTCTCTGTCCTTGTACACAGCAATGCTCTCCAAGACGCGCATAGTTTCATCCACGCTGGACTCCTCGAAGAACTGGTAGAACTCCTTGAACTTCCTCATTCGCATCTTGTTGAGCTACGAGCGGCAGCACTGCGAACACTCACGAGTATAATTCATATGGATCGTAACCCGCACCAACCCAAGTATATACTTACACTCTAAAAATACGTAACAACCGTTAGCATGCGTATTTAAATCGAATATTCTGTTTTTAGAAAAGCTGGTTCTCGATTGAAAGTGATAATCGATGTCACGGGTGCTAGTTCATATCACGGTTTCCTTCCAGTCCTCGTGCGATCATGTATAACGTCGTTAACGTCACCACAGTCTGACGGGCAACCCTTTCCACTACAGCTCGCTACAGCGCTTTTTAGTTTTCTTTATCACCTCGCTAACTACGAAGCCGGTGGCGAAGCGCTCGTCAGCTGTGGTATGATGGAAAGTCTCTTGAAGGTGTTCAACTGGCCTAATAAAGAGTTGGAACACATAACTGTACGTATAAGCAAACAATTATATTTAAGGGGTATATCATATTGAATTACTTTTTTACAATTTTGTCATTGTTTTAGTTCGTCACTAGAGCTGTAAGGGTTATAGATTTAATAACAAACATTGACATGCAAGGATTCCAAGCTCACAGCGGTTTGGCGAGTTTCATCAAACGACTCGATATGGAAGTTAACGTTTGTCGTAAAGAACAGCCTTTTGAAATCGAGCCGGAAATCGATGTGCCAGAGGCTCAGCAACAAGAAGCATCAGTTGCAGAGGAGTCAGCAAATTCGAGCTCCAATGCGTCGCAACGTACGAACGAAACCGGGGATGATCGCGAGGAGTCCCCTAATCAAATGGAATTGTCCGAAGACGAAAATACCACGACTAGTTCCAAGACCAAAACCAAGCAAACTGTCCAGACTTATTGTCCCGCAAAAAATGGAAAAATGTGTCTACCCCAACGAGCTGCACTGCTCAAGTCGATGCTCAATTTTCTAAAAAAAACCATTCAAGATCCTATGTTCTCAGATAGTATACGACATGTTATGGAAGGAACACTGCCATGCTCTTTGAAGCACATAATCAGCAATTCTGAGTATTACGGGCCATCTTTGTTTTTGCTCGCCACCGACGTCGTTACAGTTTATGTATTTCAAGAACCATCTCTTTTGTCAACTCTTCAAGACAATGGATTGACTGATGTTGTATTACACGCTCTGTTAAATAAGGATGTAAGTTTAAAATAACGCTTTTTTACATCACAAATAAACATAGCTTATACAAAGTGTGGTCACATGATTTTTTTTTTTTTTTTTTTTCTTTTCTTTTATTACCAGGTACCAGCAACACGGGAAGTCCTCGGTTCACTGCCCAATGTGTTCAGTGCACTGTGCCTGAATCAGCGCGGTCTTGCGTCGTTTATGAGACGTCAGCCCTTTGAGCGAATTTTCAAAGTTCTTTTGTCACCCGTCTACTTATCGGCTATGCGTCGACGTCGCGGAGCCGATCCACTCGGAGATACCGCCACGAATTTTGGTAATTCCATGGACGAGTTGATGCGCCACCAACCGAGTCTCAAGACAGATGCAATGGCCGCGATTGTGAAGCTTCTCCAGGAGCTCTGCGTTCTAGGATGTGATCCGCGATACGTGTGTTGGCAAGCGACTAATCAAACAAAAAGCTCTCTTTCGCATAACAATTTGACGAGCCGACAATCAAGTGGTCAGTCGGTTGGTGTGGGTGTGGGTGATGCTAGTGGCAGTGCCAGTGCTGGTGGTGGTAGTAGCAGTGACGAGGAGGATGAAGACGAAGAAGAGGCAAGCACAAGCTCGCATCCACAAAGGGAGGATCAACTCTCTCCTTCGCCCTCTCCTGCCCAGTCTGGACCCCCACCTCAGCCCCGCGAAAAAACACCAATCGCCCTCCTTGACTACATATACAACGTGATGAAGCTTGTTGATGCAATTCTCAGTAACAACTCGACCGATGACCATTGTCGGGAATTCGTTGCGCAAAAAGGCTTAGTCCCATTGCTCTCCATACTCGGGTTGCCAAACTTGCCTGTGGATTACCCAGTAACTCAGGCTGCTCAGCCCGTTGCCTCTGTTTGCAAGAGCATTCTCAACTTGGCACATGAACCTTTGGTCCTAAAGACTGGATTGCAGCAACTCAACGACGTCCTCGAGTTACTTAAACCTTTAAATCACCACATGCTACCACCATGTAGCTCAGCGCTGGTGCAAGAGTTGGCTAACGCACCTAGTATCGATACGGCTTTTGTCAGTGATAAGGCAACTCCATTGCTGCACGCCATGAACGCAACCCACGGTTACGTTGTTATGTTTGTTCATGTATGTCGTACTAGTCAATCAGAGATTCGCAATTTGTCGATGAACCATTGGGGATCAGAGCTCGGTCTCACGGTTCTCAAGGGACTGTCGGAACTTTACATGTCTCTTGTCTGGGAAAGTACGGTATTAATGGCACTATGCAACGACAACAGCATCCCAACAGGTGGCGATTTCGGCAAAGAAGATCTGGAAAAATTAGTACCACCGGAAATTAAAGTACGCGCGTTTGTTAATCCAAGCTATATACTTTTTACCGGATTTTAGTTGTATCATATTTAATGTTACATTGTTTTAACAGCAAAATGAAAATGATGCGTCTACTTGGCCGGCATCGACAACGGCAACGGACTTGAGCAGTAACGGCATGACCACCGCTATGGAAGCTTTGAGCACAGATCCTCCACCAGTCTCAATGGAAGTGGACGAAAACAAAGCAAGCACGAGTACTGGTACAGTGACTGGATCTGTACGTACATCTATCAACGTTCACCAGCCAAAGTACATCAGACCGTTGCTAGCAGCTGCATCACGACTTGGTCGTGCTTTAGCTGAACTATTCGGACTGTTTGTAAAGCTTTGCATGGGATCGGCTGCAAAGCAGAGGCGCGGTCAACAATTGCCTCCTGTGCCTACTCCGCCTTCACAGGCTGCTCAAAGTGTAGCTACAGCTTTAAATTGTCTGCTCATGCGAGGCTTATTGTACGATAAGCTACCACCATCGCCGGTGCCCAAGTTTAAGTTAACCTTCCTAATATGCTCGGTTGGTTTCACCTCGCCCATGCTCTTTGATGAAAAGCGATATCCCTATCATCTTATGCTCCAAAAATTCGTCAAACTAGGAGGACAAAATGCCTTTTTTTCGTAAGTTTTTTTCTCTTCTTTTATTATCCGCAAAATATTTCGATATCAAATATTTAATGCTTGAATACTATGACAACAGAACTTTTGAGTGGGCTCTTACTGGTGGAGGTCAATTTGATGTAAACGAAGGTCTTGAGCATCCAAACTTACCAGACCGAACGGGAGAGTTTCTAGACGTTTGGTTAATGCTCTTAGAGAAAATGGTCAACCCCAAAGCTATTCTGGATTCTCCCCATGTAGTTTCCACAAAGTGCACGGGCATTTATAAAGCATACGAATCATTTGACCCTGTAAAGTACCTCATTGACATTCAGAAGGTAACATCAACACTGGTTTCGCAAACATTTTTTTTTATCGAAGTTTTATTACAAAAATTTATGATTTTTAGCGAGCTTTCAAGGCTGTTATGCTTATGTGGGGCAAGAAACCGCTGAAAAATTATGGACCGCGAATGACCGAGTCGATTCTTTCAATTTTAAGATTTATTTTGCAAGGGGAAAAAATTATTAAAGAACGAACGGAAAAACAAGAGTCTACTGACACAACAACTGCAAGTAGTGGTGGAACCGCTGCTGCTGTTGCTACTACTGCTGCTCCATCTAGCCGCCCTGGACCAGCTGAGCGTGAACCAGATGCTGATGTCAACGCAGAACAATTGAGACAGCTCATGGATATGGGATTTAGCAGAAATCATTGTATCGAAGCTTTACTGCACACTCTTAGTGTTGAACAAGCTACCGATTACCTCCTCACGAATCCAGCTACTTCTAGAAGAGCGGTACGTATATTTATTATAATCAAAATGCCATGTAGACTCGTTTGACGCCTTACACGTATTCTATTTTTTTTTAATCAGGATGTATCCGGAGTTGACATCAATGGCCAAGGTATAATGGATCTAGAAATGGGTGATGAGGACCAAGTGATGCAAGCAATTGCTATGTCACTCGATGAATCGACCCCACAAAAACCAGAGACTCTCAGTACCGAAGAACAGATTCGCGAAACGAGCATGATCATCGATGAGTTCACAAAAACTGCTCTCACCCAGTGTCTCAATTTACTGGATCAGATGCCTGATACAGTTTACCGGATACGTGATTTGTTGGTAACCATCGCGAAACGCAACGGCACGGAATGGCGCGACAAAATACTGAAACAATTGATAATGGAAATCGGTGATCTCGTTGACCATTTGCATACAATTTCTGTATCGCAAGATGAAAACGCAGGCACCCGGCTAGTGGAGTGTGAGGAAGCCAACAAGGTTGCGGGTCGCATTTATCTTTACACCCTTTTCTTTGAAGGCAACTTCCAGGAAATGCGCGAACCCTGCGCTTTCATAGTCGAACAGTGCGGTTTGCTCAACAAACTTGTCAATCTACTCGTGGCAAGTGAGGCGCCGCTCACGGCTATTAAAAGCAAGAGCTCAAACGATACAACCGTTAAAGACGCGACAGCTAAAGATGTTGCACCACAGTTATCGAAAACACCCAAGTGGCTTGCTCCACTTTTGCTGCTCATCGATCGATTGGAAAAGGTTGCAATATTAACGCAACGTAAATTACTCATGCACAGAGTTACAAATGGCACATGGAAATGGTTCGATCTTAGTTCGGGAAAGTGGACGCCCTATTCGAATTCCAACAATCGAGTGATTGACAAAGCCTATTGGGCTGGCGAGTCAACGGTGCGCATAAGTTGTGCTCGGCGTCGCTACCTTATTACGTTTTCGTGTATGACACAAGTGAACGAAGATAGTGATAATCGTAGGCCTATCACCAGGAGCTTCCGAAAAAACGAAGAAACAGCAGAAAATGTCACGGCCACGGCTGTCGCCATTCCTGATACCAACATGGATACCGAAGATGGTAGTAATGGCAGCGGCGCCACTGTTACTAATGTCGTAGCTACTTTGCCTGTAAACTCCGAGGAAAAGCGGAACTATTCGATTCAAGGACTAGATCCCAACATCACACCTAGTATAGTGCGCGCTTGCGTTAAGCTTTTGGCTATACCTGTAGATCGTGATGCTTTACACGCACTAATGAAGGTGTGCCTCAGATTGACGCGCGATTACAAGAACGCTGAAATCTTTGTTAAAGAAGGCGGTGTAAAGCTCCTACTCGACATGACTCAAGTTAGCAGCTTCATTGGCTCTGTCACCTTAAGCACGTTGTTGATAAGGCACACTCTCGAGGAACCCCTAACGCTCGGGTTGGCCATGGAGAAAGTCGTTCGCTCGCGTACTCAAAGCAACATACCACCGCCGTACAAGGAGATACTATTTATGACACGCCAAATAAGCAGTGCCGTTTGCCGTAATCCGGAAGTCTATCACAAAGTCTGCGAAAACATCCTTAGAGTGGATATCAGCGCGCTCAAGCGGGATGACGAGGATAATCGGCTGATCGTGAAAGCACTTCCTCAGGCTGTTTCTCCGTCATTACCTATGGCTGAAGAAGTATCAGTGAATGTTATTCACGAGCTGTTGAATGCTCTGATAAAACCCGTACCGGTATTGCCGGAAGATAGCACTACGACTTCACCAGCCTCTAGCAGCCCCGAGAAAAAGAGCAGCGCTGGCGCGACAAGCAGTAATGCAACCTCTTCTACGAGTACGGCCTCGTCTTCTAGACTCCTACTTAGTAGAGGCAATGCGACTACTGCTTCGGCTGTTAATGATCCTTTGGACGACAATGATCAAGTTTCTCAAATTATACCTCTAAACATGTGCACGGATGTTGGCAACAACAGTAAAATCGAGTCGGAAGAATCAAAAAAGCCTCTGCTGCCCAAGTCTGCGATTCTTAAGATACTCGCCGAAGCAGTACGTTCGTATGGCTGTATTGCTAACCTTATCACCGAGTACACTTACCGAGCTCGCCAAAGCGAAATGATCCAGGAAGACACGACAGCATTAGCTTTCGTGCTGGACCGCCTGTTGCCAGTCGAGAACGCGAGTGACCGTCAGTGTAGTAGCACGGCTCGGTTGCTCATTGCTGCACTTGCTTCGTGTAACCACTCGCCCGAGGCTCAAAACACTTTGGTGTCGGAAGTTAAAGCCGCGCTTTTGCGCACCTTAGCGCTGCCAGAAAGCTCGGAAAAGCATGCTCAGCTTCAGCTGCTCATTGGACTCATTTCGACGATGATAGACAGTTGTCCGCTCACCACGCATACGACGATGCGCGGATCCCTCAAAGTTAACCAATACACAAATGTCAACTACGTTGTTAGAGTAATGCTGAAGAAGGGCATCATCACTGACTTGGCCAAGATACCCCACAGTCTGGACCTGTCGAGTCCAAACATGGCCGCCACCATCAACGCGGCACTTAAACCTTTGGAAACGCTATCGCGAATAATTAACCAACCTGCGGCCGGACCACCCAACAACAGATTTCCGAAGCCAAAGACCCGAAACACGCAAGAGGAGCCCGTTGGAGAACAAAGTGGTACAACTACCTCTGGCGCGACAAATGCCGTGGGCGAGGAAACCAACGAGGATGCGGAGAACACCGAACACGACATCTCCGTCAACGCGGAAAGTCTCGAGCCGACCTCGGAAAGTCAACAACACGAAGAGGGCGATGTAGCCGTTCTGGAAGACATCATGGATCAACTGCTCGAAAGGTAAACATCGATTCACAACATTTGCGTCCCATTCTTTACTAGACTTAAACACATTCTCTATAATCAAGTAGTGTCTTATTTTCCAGGGATCCCTCCGCCGTGTCGGAAGAACCGACTTCACGATCACATCGGCCAATGGATATTGAAGGCGACAGTCTCGTTATTTCCCGTATGCGTGACGGCGAAGGTGATTTCGATCCCACACGTGATACTACGGAGGATTTGATGAGTTCCGATTCGGACTCCGATAGTAATCCCTCGGATGATAACGAGGACGATGTGCAGGACGACGACGATGGAGAGGAGGAGGAGGAAGATGATGGCGATGACAACGATGAAGAAGAGGATGAAGAGGAAGAGCCATCGAATTACGAGGAAGAAGGGATACAATTTTACCACGACGTGGGTGATGATTTGTTACGGATGGTGCCTGCATCTGATCGTGACAGTAGCAACGTCGTCATGATCCAGCACAATTTTGACAGCCCTGACTTGAACGCTCCAATGTCTACCTCCAGGCCGAGCTTGGGTTGGAACAGTAATCCCTCGTTCACATTAGATCTTGGTCGATTGGCATCTGATCAGGGTGACCTTCATTCTCACCCAAGATTAATCACGGAGAGCTCTTTGCTTGATGGCAATCGTTCCAGAAGGTCCATGACCGCACGAGGATATAGGGTTCACCTTTCCAATTCCAGACATTCAAACCCGCCTGTAATATTACAAAGGTATTTTAATTATATTTCTGCATTAATAGAATGCACCGTTGATGTAATTTTGTGGCTAATTATATGTGTATTTTGACAGATTACTAGGCCCAGCGGCACAATCACTTCCACTGGCTGCTAGCCAGATACTCGCAAGTGTCCGAGATACTCGAGTCGTCGTCATGGATAATGGACTCGGGATTATGACTAATCAAGATGACGAGTCGTTTGATTTGGTGGACCAATCAGGTTACTTATTTGGTCCAAGTCTTGCTGCAACTTTGAACAATATTCCTACAGCGTTGCATTGGTGGATCGAAGAGAGCAGACTGCTAGATGGAGATTCTCAACCAGACTGTTGCGTTGGTTCGTTACAAATTAATACTACAAAACTAAAATTTCAACCAAAACACAAAATGTACTTCAATTTTACCTCGAAAAATTTGCTTAGGTGTTGTATACAAGTTGATTCCTGGTTTGGAGAAACACAGAAATGCTGAACTAGCAGAGAGAAAAGAGAAGCTTAAGAAACAACAAGAAACTGCTCAAAAAGAAGCGGAGAAAAACAAGGATGCCAAAACTAGTACTAGCACAAATACTGCAGAAAGTATGTCGTAATTATTATTTTATTTCACTCGTGAGTTTTTACATATTTTTCTAACGTTATTTAATCCAAAATAGATGAAGCGTCTAACACACCCCCGACAGAGAGTCAAGTAGCCACTCCATCAACATCTGTCAATTCTAGACAACTGATAGCTGCTGTTGAAGCTGTTGTCGAAGCTGTTCGACAAGAGCTGAATACCGATGAAGAACTAATTGGTAACTTTGTTTTTTCATCATAAAAAAAAAAAAAAAAAAAAATAATTCATCAGTCGAAATTATTTTATCCATTTGGTTCTCTACAGGTGAAATGGAAGTAGCGGATGAAGAAGATCGTCCTGCCCATCCAAATGATGAGCAACCGAATGAAAATAGAGAGTCACAATTATCTCAAGCATCGGCACTTAGTGCGGCTACTCACATTGCTGAAACTTTTGTCAATTCGGTGCTTTCATCAGCTGCTTCAGAAGTGTCGAGAATTCAAAGGCAACAACAACAGCAACAATCGGACAGACGTCCGGAAGACTCTTTAGTGGCTGAGAATTCAGAATCGTGGCCTCCATCCGAACTTGTTGATTTTAGTCAGAGCTCAGGTAGCAGTGACACGATTCGAGGAGAGGGCACGTTACCTATTGATTGGATAAGAAGGTTACTTACTGAAGACAATGCCGCAGCTAACAATGAAAGAAAGTAAGTGCAGCTTGTACCTGTATTTTCCTTCGAATGTAGTTGTCAAGAAAGAACTAGTATTCTAAATATGTATGTAAAACACACTTTCTAGTGCTAATATAACGGATCAAGAATCAAGTTTGCCTGACCCACCAGTCGCGAATGCTTCTCAATCACCTCAGGCAGAACAACAGCAGCCTACCGCTCAACTAGAAGCTCCTCGAGAAGACAATACTTCTCAGTCGGACACGTTAAACGACGCAGAAACAGTAGGCGAAGTTGCCGTGGCTCCAGCAGTACCCGCGCCGTCTGCAGTGTGTACCTCGGAGCAAGATCAAGCATCCGCATCTGAACCAACAGCGTCGCAAGAAACACCTCAGCAACCACGAGCCTCCCAATCTCAGGAGCCGTTCTTGGATGGCGTAGATCCCTCATTCTTGGCCGCGCTTCCTGATGAAATGCGCGACGAGGTGATAGCTGAACAACTGCGGCTCCAGCGCATCAGGCAGAGAGCTCAAACGGCAATTGTTGAAGAGTTATCGGGTCCCGCTGAAGTCAACCCCGAATTCCTCGCTGCTCTGCCACTTGCTATTCAAGAGGAAGTCCTGGCACAGCAGCGACTTGAACAGCAACGACATGCTGCCGCCTCTGCGAATCCTGAGGATCCCGTTGATGCCGCTGCATTCTTCCAAAATCTGCAACCTTCGCTTCGTCAAGCGGTACTTTAAAACCTTATAAAATTTTGAAAATCATATGTTTGAAGTGTATTTTTATGTCTACAATTGATTGTTCACAGATCCTTACGGATATGGAAGAATCTCAAATTTCTGTGCTTCCACCAGACCTTGCGCAAGAAGCGCAAAACTTGAGAAGAGAATGGGAGGCACGTAACAGGCATATAATGCAAGAACGGTTCTTCAGTCACGTAAGTCAAGGCAATGCCGCGCTCTCGAGCATTTTAAGGACTTCTGGCAGAGGAAGAGGTCCTCGATATGCGATTCACGCAGTGGGCCAGAGGTCTCAGTGGAGCTCGTACAATAATCGGGGTGACGCAGCTTTGAATTATCAAGGCGCCGGAGCCAATAACTTACGAATGCGAGGAAGGCAGTTACTCGATCACGAGTCAACGGCTTGTTTGCTCGTATTATTGTTCATCGATGAGCCAAAAATCAACACTCTAAGACTTCACAGAGTCATCAGGAATCTGTGCTATCACGGTAGCACTAGGGAATGGATCGTCAAAGCGTTGCTTAACATCATGGAAAGGAGTAATGAGGAAAATAAAGATGCTTTTGGAGATTTTAGCGGCAAGCTTAAAAAGAAAGGGACTCCTCATTCCAGTATTGATTACTGGTAAGATACTAATTTTTATGGTTCAATATTTTTTTTTAAATTTTTTTAGCAAGCTGATCTTTGAGTATTTGGATTATTTATTGTTTTGATAGTTCACCTAAAGCTATGGACACGAAGAATAATACGCAATCTTGGCTGAATATAAGTATTGATGCTGCATTAGGTTGTAAAGCAAATGTATTCCACATAACAAGACACGGAGGTAAAAAATCAGAAAGACAAGGTCATAACATAACGATTCATCCACAAGCTGCTCCTACTGTTTGCAGGTAACATACAATGCATTGAAGTATTACGTCATTTGAAACCAAACTAAAATTATCTGTACGTATTTATTTGATTTTAGGCACACGCTTGAGCTTATGGTATCTCTTGCAAAGAGCTTCCCGGGATATTTCGTTCCAATAAAATCGAAAGAAACCGAAGAAAAGGAAAAAGAACCGTTGATTAAAGAAGAGACAGGTACCAAATCAAAAATCGTAGCCAAGCCTGGTAAAAGTGATGCCCCAGACTTCTGGGACATGCTGCTGCGTCTCGACGCGTCTAGTGCCTCTAAAAAAGGAAAATCCGTAGCTCGTACGCACTCGACAACGAATTTGGGAGCTGAGCTTGAACAATCGGTTGTGTCGTTTGAGGCATCCTCTTTCGGTCAATTGATCTCAATGCTCAGTTGGTCGGTGATAAAACGTAGTAGTCAACTGACGGATAAGCTCCTACGATTGTTATCTTTGATATCAATAGGCCTGACTGAGGTAAATCCGAGTCGACGACCCGAATCAACAAACAAAAATAAAAAAACCGAGATCAGCAAAGACTCTAGTCTATCTGCTCCCGAAAGCCACATTAGACTCGCTGTTAAAGTTCTAACAAGTAAGAGCTGTTCAGAAGAGGGTCTCGAAGATGCAACCGCTTTATTACTGAATCTGTCTCATTGTCCCGATCCCACACGACAGCTGGTAAAATGTTTACTCAATTTCACAAATTTTCTCATTTTTTGTTTCGTTGTCAAATCATTTAAACATTTGGATTTTTTTCAGATTTTAAAATTACTGCTGGAAGGCGCAATGGAACTAGCAAACATGGTGTGCGAGCACATTAATGACTTGATGGTGGAACTGCGAGTACTAAATCGGGAGTACAAGAGGAGAAACTCATTAATGGAAGAACAGCATTCAAGTAACAGTAGTGGATCGAGTAAAGGCGTACTTCAAGATAGATTCACGAATGACAACGTCGTCATCGTAGCGTCCACAAAATTGAAGGCTGGAGGTGATTTGCAGTTGCCGTCCATGGGAACGCTTGTCAGTAAAACGTCTAGTCAAGCCTTCTTCCTTCGTATCCTCAAAGTGATAGTGCAGATAAGAGAAGCCGTGCGCCACGCCAACAGTAAGGCAGCCACGGAAACTGCCACCGCGACTACGGCTAATGTTGAAGCTCCAGCCGTACTAGCCGCAGATACAGCCATGGAGACTGCGCCGTTGGGCGGCAGTGCCGAATCAACTGGTCATGAGGCTGCTGCTGATACAGATGCCATAGCAATGGATACTACCCAGGCGTCAACTCCAACCCTTTCCGCAACTGGTTCACAATCTACTCCCATGGAGTCAACGTCGAAGCAATCAAGTTCGAGCGTCGAGGATGACAAGTCTTTGCCTCTGCTCAGTGAAAGCTTGGTTCTCGACAACTTATGGGAGACGTTGAGTGCCTGCCTACTTGAGTTGGAACACACACCCGATCATCACGCGGTTCTCGTGTTGCAGCCAGCCGTCGAGGCCTTCTTCCTCGTGCACTCGTCGTCGAGCACATCACGTGAGCAGAACAACGATAACAATACCGATAGCGTCGAAATCGCCTCGGAAATCGCACCAGTCTCGCCCATTTATGCGGGTAACAACGTATCTGGAGCAACTCCAGTAGTAACTGCAACACCAGCAACCGCGACAGACACAGCAGCGGCAACAACAGCTCAGACACAGCAACCAGAGGCTCAGACAACAAACGCGACCGCAAATGTCAGCAGCGCAGATGCCGCAGGCGCTGCTGTTGCTCCTTCTTCTCACACGTGGGATGCCAATTCGACGACCGTGCACAAGGCCTTACCGCCGGATCAGCTCAAGTTCCTTAAATTTGCCGAAACACACAGAACAGTCTTAAATCAGATACTTCGGCAAACCACTACTCACTTAGCAGATGGTCCATTCTCTGTGCTAGTGGATCACACGAGGGTTTTAGATTTCGATGTCAAGCGACGGTACTTTAGAACCGAATTAGAACGAATGGACGAAGGTATTCGCAGGGAAGAACTTGCCGTTCACGTGCGTCGCAGTTGTGTGTTTGAGGATTCCTTCAGAGAACTTCACCGAAGAACAGCTGATGAGTGGAAAAATCGCTTCTATATTGTATTTGAAGGTCAGTATAAGCAAACTATTCTTACTTATTATGTTCGCGTTACAAGCAAACATTCATTGATTAATTAAATTACAGGCGAAGAAGGTCAAGATGCAGGTGGACTACTGCGGGAGTGGTACGTCATCATATCAAGAGAAATCTTCAATCCCATGTACGCTCTATTTACTGTTAGCCCTGGTGATAGAGTGACTTACATGATAAACTCCTCCTCTCACTGTAATCCTAACCATCTGTGTTACTATAAATTTGTCGGTCGGGTAATTGCCAAGGCCATTTACGACAATAAACTGCTCGAATGCTACTTCACTCGTAGCTTCTACAAACATATACTTGGAATCCTTGTAAAACACACAGACATGGAAAGCGAGGATTATAGTTTCTACCAAGGCCTTGTATATTTAACTGAAAATAATATCGTGAACCTAGGCTACGAGCTGACCTTCTCGACTGAGGTACGTATAAATATTTTTCAACTGATGCCATTAGCTTATTAATGTTTTTTTGGTAAACATTATTAATATTACAGGTAAACGAATTTGGAGTCAATGATATACGTGATTTGATTCCTAATGGACGAAATATTATTGTCACTGAAGACAACAAACTCGAGTACATTAGATTAGTTTGTCAAATGAAAATGACTGGAGCCATTCGTCAACAGTAAGTTAACTATTCGGGATAAATTATTATTTAAATAAATTGATCACAAATCATTTGAACATTATTTTTACAGGCTCACTTCATTCTTGGAGGGATTTTACGATATTATTCCTAAACGTCTCATTTCCATTTTCAACGAGCAAGAGTTAGAATTATTGATTAGTGGTTTACCAAACGTCGATATCGAAGATCTCAAAGCTAACACGGAATATCACAAATACAGTCCAACATCGTTACAGGTACAGAGTTTTGTTTTCGCTTTGTCGCATCTAAAGCATATCGATAAGTTAACATGCTTATTAACTTCATTTGAAATAGATTCAATGGTTCTGGCGTGCATTGCGAGGTTTCGATCAGGCCGATAGAGCCAAGTTCTTACAATTTGTCACTGGAACTTCAAAGGTTCCCCTTCAAGGTTTCGGTGCTCTGGAAGGTATGAACGGAGTGCAAAAGTTCCAAATCCATCGTGATGACCGATCTACAGATCGGCTGCCATCAGCTCACACATGGTACGATTCCACACTAATGACTATAAAACGAGTATAGAATAATAAAAAGAGTTTTTTTGACTTTAACAAACGTTTTGAATTGCAGTTTCAATCAACTGGACTTGCCGGTGTATGAGACTTACGACAAACTGCGCAGTAATTTGCTGAAGGCTATCCACGAGTGCAGCGAAGGATTTGGATTCGCGTAAATTTTTACTAAGACATTTAAGGACATTTTACGTCGTAAATTTGTTATCTGTAATGTGTTGCCTCTGCCTATTGGACGAAGTAAATTATATACTTGCGTGCTGTAACAAATATGAACTGTGCTTGATTCTCAATCGAATTCTCAAAAAAAAGAAAAAATTAATAAAAAATGGAAGTAATGTACATGCATATATAATCCACACGTGTATATACATATACTACAATGTACATATATATGTATATACATGTGTAAACATATATACGACTACGGTGTAATTATTGAAGATGTCTTTAAAAAAAGGAAGAGAGAGAAAAGAAAAAAAAAATACTCTACTTAGAGTTTATTTTATTGAAAAATTCTTAAAGGAAAAGAAAGAATGTGTATGAAATACAGAGACAGAGAAATTCGAGGAACTTAACGATAATTCCCTGCAAAACAGAACAGGAGAGATAAACTAAGTTTAATCACATAAGACTATAAGATAAGATTTCTATTTGNTAATTTGCGTTCTCCCCTACAGAAACTCAATTTTACTACCTGTAAAATTTAAAGAAAAAAGTCATTTGTTGTCATGGAATTAATCCGATGTAATATTCGAAATACATTTTCAAAAATCGTGCGGATAAAACAGTAGTAGGTACTTTAGTCAAGAATATTACATATTACTTAAGTGCATTATTAGAGATTTATGACTCGATAAACTCTAATGTTTTAAAAATTATTCACTTTGAAATAAGATGCCAAATTGTATATTATCAATCAAAAACTCGTACAAGTCTGTACATCAGAATTTTATTGTAAATTATCGGAAAAACTAATCTTGAGTCACGAAAGTGTTGGTGCTAAATTTTCTTTTTGAAACTTCATGTACTTATGAAAAATTGGCAGATAATAACAACACAACCAAGACCCAACGATTGTTTGAAGGATCGCCTTGACAACACGCTAGCTACTTCTCTAATATTAAACGTTAAACATCAACGTTTCTTGGAATAATTGAAATTGACGGCGATCGACGATGGTTATTTGAAGAGACCCCATTTCACAGGTAATTCTCAATATACTTAGAATTAATTAAATATCGAGGAGACACGCGATTCGTGGGAAAAATGAAAACAGCTCACGCGAATCCCATCGAGTATAATTTCCTAAAATGTGGTTCGCTATTTAAAATAGCAAATCGACTAAGCTGCAATTAAGTAATTTTCCATCCGTTCTGGATATTCAATAAGTTTAACAACCTCCGTAATATACTCGAATCCCTTGCACGGCATAAAAGTGCATACACACTTACCCCCTTGTAAGCAGTGATAAATTAGTAAGGCAAGCAGCAACGAGAGCATCGACAGTGATGATATACTTCATCCCTTGTTAGTTTCGACGTTTCGCACGCAACTGTCGTTGCTTATGTCATCTGAGGAAGAAAAAAAAAAAAAAAAAAAAAAAAAAACACATAAAGGAAAAGAAAGAATGTGTATGAAATACAGAGACAGAGAAATTCGAGGAACTTAACGATAATTCCCTGCAAAACAGAACAGGAGAGATAAACTAAGTTTAATCACATAAGACTATAAGATAAGATTTCTATTTGAAGGAGCTATAAAAAAAAAAGATCCAAAGTGATCAAGATTGTAATACACAGTCCTCGAGAATAAATCCTTGGTGATATATTGCAAGCTCATATATTTAATACTTAGTTTGCATATAGTTAACAATGCGTGTGAATGGAACATAGAATGATAAATGAATTTCTTTAAAGTTTTACACGACCGCGTATAATGTGAAAAAAAAAAAAAAAAAAAATTAGTGTGAGCGACAGACAAAATTTTGTGAGAGCCAAAAACAATAAGTCGACGAGATCGCAATGTAAAATCTTCATCTCATCTTTTCTTGTGAGCGTTATGTATGATTGTAAATTATTAGTATTAATAATTCTAATTTTTATTGATTATATTGGTAATTTTTAATTAAAATAATTTTAATCGAAATGTGATGTTAAAAATGAAGTGTAATTCTCCTTAAAAATTTAAGTAAATAAAGTTTACAGTTAAACAGATACACATAGCCACGATTCAAGAAGACATCAGTAAATCTCACGAGGGAGCAAACGTTGTAAGAGGCTCCTTTCGACATTGTTAGGGAATTATTGCTTAGGAATCGCTCAAATAAAAAAATTATACGTTGTATTTCTTATAAAAAAAAAAAGTTGTGCAGTAATGTTGTTTTATTACATAAACTAATTTTTTCAAACAATTTCATATTAATTTCATTTTACTTATTTTCTCAATACATTTCATTTCANTTTTTTCTTTTTTTTTTTTAGACAAGTCAAAATCTTCTAGTCCAGGTGTAGAAGAAGGTAGCTCCCCAAGGTCATTTGGCACATCTGATATTTGGAGGAAATATAGACTTGATCCGACTAGAGTTAACCAGTGGACAGCTAATTTAAGAATGGTAATTTTTGCTTAGAATTTCAAAATATTTGATTCTTTATATTTAAAATTTGTTTTTCTAGTGGATTAGTAAAACTGTAGTTGAAAGAGTGTCTGCAGAAATTGATAATGTATCTACTAGCCTAATCCGTCATGGTCTTAGCGACTCTCAACCAGGACACGTTGGTTTGGATAAATTAAGAAAACTTGCCCAATCGTTTTCAGTAACTGTCATACCTACCTTACCTCCTCTTGTTCCTTTTCTTGAATTATCAAGCAACCAAGATTATCTAGTGAAAAGAATTAAGATTCTAGCCAAAGGTGGTTCTATGAGCGAATTTAAATGGAATAGTGGAGGATCATATAATGGAAAGGAATGGGATGCAAGCCTTCCCACAGATACGGCAGTAATGTCTGATACATTCAGTTTTGTTAACTTTTTTGAATTGAACTAACCAAAATAATTTTCTAGATTATTATGCATTTGTTTTCAACGTACATGGATACTCAACTTGAAGCTCCCTTGAATCAACCTGATGCCAGACCTTTTACATCAATGTATACCGCCAAATCGACATGTGAATTACCTCGTAGTAAAGGTCCGATAATTGTAACTCAATCGGTCAATCCACCACATTATTGCCTAGCTCTTTCTGGAGATTCACTATCTCATGATTTCGAAAATATTCCTGGGGTAAGTAAAGAAATTCATATCCCATTCATCAAGAGTAATACTTGTGGTAAATTAATGTTATGATTTTCATTTTACGTACAGGGAAGAAATAATTTTTTTCACACGCTTTTGCTTTTCCTGTATATTGTAAAGACTCGAGATCATGGAATGCTTGGTCGTGTCAACCTTGGAATGTCTGGTGTAAACGTTATGTGGGTCATAGACTAAACTGTGTAATGAGTTGTTTTTTATTAATTATTTATTAAAAGACATTTTCTTTTTTTTTTTAATGAACATGATTGTTTTCCGTGCCGTTGCTGTAAAAATTAATATTATTCTTAGAAGAAAAAAAACCTGTTTTGAACAATTCTCTTAAAATTAGAAAATTTTTTGATGGATAACATGATTCGCTGTTTCTTATTTATCGAATCGGTCTGTACTTTTCATTTATTTATCAAACAAAGCTATTTGGCAAATAAGGCTAGAGTAATGTTGAAAACGAAAAATATTTTTGTATCGAACTGTACTTTTTTAAGCTTAGCAAAAGCAATTTACAAAATAAGTTGAGAGTTTCTCAAAGACATTTACTTATATATAAAATAAGTCTCGTAGCCAACTTCTAGCAGAATGAAACAACGATGTACAAATTTTCCTAACAGTATAATAAATCCAATTTAGTTTCTTAAACTTTCGTTACTATTTTTATAAAAACAAATATTCCTAAAAATTTTTTTAAATCAAATCTGTCCCACTAGTATTTCTTCTTCGTATCTATAACGTTGCAACAGATGTTATATTGTCGTCGTAATAATATATATGAATACATATGGATGTATACATTGTTTTCCCAAAAAATGTATGCGTGCGGCTACGCGGGCGTGTGTGTAAGTACGTGTACGTATAATGTATAAGGAAATCAGTTGGATCTTAGATCTCAGGATTTCTGAGAACGATTTCTGTTTAAACTTTTTTCGTTTCCCCATAATAATTTGCGTTACAAAATACAATATTTACCTTTTTCTTTTGATTTTCATTTTTCTCAAAAATTTATTTTCAAAATTCAATATGATCCCAAAGTAATTATGATTTCTAGAAAAGTTGAAAAAAGGTATTTATTGATTATCAATGATATAATAATTACAATCGAAGGAAAATTGGGGGGGGGCGTTTTTTACCTTCTCTATAATGTAGACTGCACGGGGGTAGTGAGACATAGTATATTGTATATAGTCGCTCGAAGCCACTTTGCGTGTTCGCGATCGCCATGTATATGTTACGAGGATGTCTCGAGACTCGTACGTTTTATTACTCCTTTTTGCATCCCCGCTGGCTTCTTCGCTCCCTTATTTCATTAATATCGAGACTCCCGCGGACTCAAGTGCCTCCTCCGTGCACCTCGCGTTTGAAAAGACCAATATGTTGGCTCGAAGAAGGGTAATGCTCGTAAAAAAATAAACAAAAGAAAAGAAAAATTAATTCATCCGAATAACAATGGAATTTGTTTATAATGTAGGGAGCTCTACAGAGCAAAGGCAAGAAAATGACGAAAAAAGGCGGAGCGGCAGCTTTGCAGACCGATGTGGCCAACGACGAGGACTGGAACAAGATATTGGAACGGCCGGGATTAGTCCGTACGGATTAGTTCCTTTTTTTTTTTTTTTTTTTTTTTTTTTTTTTTTTTTTTTTCATAAAGAAAGAAAACAATTTAACGAGTAAGTAAACGATGTGTGTTTATGTAATATGCGATTTGTCCGTTAGTCGTCGACGTTTACTGCGAATGGAGTGGTCCGTGCACCGGCATGGTCAGTATTCTCAAAAAGATCAAAATGGAAATCGGCGGGGACGACCTCAGTTATGCTACGGTAAATCCATCGAATAGATGCAAATATTTTTTGGTAAAATAAAACTATATGTATGATATGTCAACGCATGTACTAAAATGGTAATTAATCGTCCCAAGGCTCGATGCGACGAAATATCTTCGTTGGTGCGTTTCCGAGGAAAAAGCGAGCCCGCGTGGATGTTCATTCGCGTGAGTTTGACACCTCGTCTCTCGATGGTAAGATAAAAAACATAATTATTGGATTTGATTGATTTTATTTTCCGCTTGCAGGATGGCATGATGATAAACATCGTATTCGGAGCTAATTGCCCGCAGCTCACAGAAACGTTGACCAAAGAGCTCAAACGGTTACAAAACAACGAGCCACCCGAGTGCGTATGATTTTTCTCCCTCGTGAAATATCCAGTGGTTTCCCCCGTTTAACGGATAACGCGATGAGTTTAGATTGTCGATCCCGGTGTCCGAGATCTGTGAAATGGAGGCTGAAAGAACACGGATCTTCCTGGAGGCCAAGAGAGCCAGGGAAGCCGAAGCACTTGCGAAAATCGGTGCGTAAAATTTTTTTTTTTTCATCCTTTTCCAATTGACCGAGGGTTGATATTCCACAAACAGAGGCGAAAGCCACAGCCAAGTACGAGGCGAGACTCGAGCACTACGTGACTTCGCTCAGCCGCGAGACCCTTTTGATTTTCTTCCCTTGGATCTTCAAGGACGAGGAGGGAAACTTGCGGGACAAAAAAGCGAGTCCCGCGTACGTTGAACTGACGGATCAATTGTTGCCCGGTAACTTTGTCGTCGAACAGGAGGTGAAGAAACACATGAGTGAAGAAGACGTGGTCGAGTTGCAAAAAGAGACGGACTTTGACCTCTGTGAACTGACTAAGCACCTCCTTACGGATGGGACATGTTTGTGCATGCGCTTGAAAATGTCCAGTAGAACGATGTTGGAGGAGGAACTGGACGCTAACTTGTGCGATCTGTTGTTTAACGAGCCGCGAGTTCCGCTCTCGCCAGACGCGATGATCGATGACTGGTAACGCCTCTTATTTAATTTTGAATATTTCATCAACATATATTTGCACCGCATCGTAAAAAAATACGTAGTTAATCGATTGTTTTTTTTCTTTTTTCCAAGCTTCGTACATCGACATATGACTAACATGCAAGACTTCAACAGGGAGGGAGAAAGTGTCACATCGGAGGCGGCAGAAAACTTAATGACGTTGACAGTCCTATGGGTACCGATCAATCAACGGAACAGAGCTATCGTTTTTAAACATATTTTTTCAAAATACGTCGATTCAACGTATCCGGTGGTTATGAGTTTTATCGTTTCTTTCTTTCTTTCAACTTGTTCGTGTGATTTTGATAAAAATTTTTTCATTCAAGTTAGAGGAGGCCGACGAAGACATTCCAATAACTGTTTTCAAGTACGACAGTACCAAGAAAAAAGAATTGAAAGTGGTTTTGAACACTTATGCGAACGACGTCATATCTTTTGGTATTTTCGAGCGTGACAGTCTGCCCAATCCAAAATTCATTACTAAACTTATGGAGAGATTTGAACATGAATACAAAGACAAGACTGGGTACGTAATTCGTCAATGTTTACTACTTCTCGATTATGAATTTCTCAGTAATTACTTTGTATATTTCATAGATATGAAGTTTTTGTTGTTGTCATTAAAAAAGAAAATCCTGAGGCTTTCTTGTCGTTCGCCGGAATAGGACCATATCACGTTAGCGAGAATCCGGAAGTCGCAATTGAAGAAGCAGAGCAATATTTTCCAAAAGATGCCTTGGAAGACGATCTCCCATCGGAGGATGAAGATGGTCAAGGAGAATTCGAATATGAGGGCTATGAGGGTGACGGTTTTAGCGAAATGGGTGATAAGGTCCCGGAGCAATAGACGGACTCTTAAAAATACAAAGTATTCAAGTATTTCTCTATTTATTTTTTTTTCTACTTTAAAGTTGGTTTTAAATTAAAAAAAAATAATGTATCAAAAACAATACAACGTAACTTATGCGAATACCGATTTTATTTCAATTATATAAACAGATTTACTTTTTGTAACCACAGCTACTTCTGCGACCTCGCGCTCTCTCGAATTTTCGTCCCTTCGAACGTACGAGCGGTTTCGTGTGTGAGTGTGGCACACCAGGAGCAAGTCCAAAGTGCCTGACGGCTTCGCGAGCGTTACGACGTCCTTGCATGAGAACAGTCTTGCGACCGGTTGGCGACCGCAGAGCTAGCTGGTCAAATGTGATGATTTCACCCCCAGCTTTCAAGATACGGCCTCGTGCTTTTTCAGTCACGCGGAGAGCGCATACCTGTAAAAAAAAGTTTAAACATTCATGGTGGAGCCAGTGAATACATTATAATGTTGTTAAGGGTACTAATAATAAAGTTATTACGTTAAAAACTGTTTCAATCAATTTGCCAACCATTCTTACATAAACGGAGAGGTTGAATAGGCAGATTGAATTATTATTGCAAACATTGCAATTTATATTAAAGTGTTAGAGCTTTAATATACGTAGTTAATAAAGTTTGCGTGGTCAAATTTGTTTTAAAAAAGACGACGAACTTACAGTCAGTTTTGGGACCTCAAAGATCCTGGCATCGTCGGTAATTGTGCCAACAACAACAGCAGTGCAGTTTTCACGTTTGGGCTTCTTCATGAACCTAACAACCCGGGCCAGGGAAATTGGTGGACGGTGGATTTTACTCATGAAAAGCCTCTTGAGGATGATTCTGTTGAACTTGGAGTTAGTTCTCCTTGCCAAGTATCTGTACAGCTGCACAATAGAATAAAAGTTTGTTTTTGTTAGTAATGTTAACAATCAATAGTATCACAATTGCGAATTATAAATTTTTAAATTTGTATCAGCTTGAATAACTACCTTTCCTATAGATCAGAAAGATTGAATAGGAAGCTGACATTGCTCTAGCGAACGTTCAAATTGAATCAGAGAATGGCGTATCTCAGACACAGAGTGCGATTCGCAATCAGCCAATAAAAATGTAATAATTAACGATATACAAGATCTATACAGTTTGACCATCGAATCAAACTGTCACATAAACAATCGCGTGTATATGGTCCAGCGAAACTAACCTACAATTATTGGAGTCAAACACAACAGCTTCAATTCTACTTGTTTATCAATAACATTGGATTTTTACTCGCACACACGAAAATCCGGGCATAGTTCTGAATCAAAGTAATTAATAACGAGAACGAGAGTACTTAAACAAGTCATCCTAAAGCACATACCTTGACCAGAAGCCGTAAGTAGACGTCCTGGGACTTGGGCTCGGTGCGCCGCACTTTGCGATCATGCTTGTGGTTGATGTCGATACCCTGAAACGAAAATCTCAATTAGCCGAGTTGCTCCGATATCCGAGCTAGCAGGACGTCACCAGGGTAACACCCGATGGCGCATCCTGGACATTATCAGCGCGGATTCCACGGTCGCGCAATCTTGCCACGAGCACTCACCATTTTGACGCGTTACCAAAAGAAGCCGATGGACATGCGAAGACCACGGCCAACACAACACTATGCACGGAGTTTCGACTTTTGGACGCAGCGGCGCAACGGTCGCCAACGCATGCGCCTGAGTGCGCGCGGGGCGCGCTAGCGCAAAAAAAGAGCAGAAGTCTTATTTCTTATTGTAGAGTAGAGGTTAATATGTTTATGCCGTACCGGTTGAGGGAGACTCGAAGGATGAAGTTTAATTATTTAATACTGTAGCTCCACGAACTTTTTAGAGTGAAAAAAATTATGAAGAGATAGTTGCAGTTGATTGTTACTGGTAAAAAATATTGAGCGAAGGGGGAGAAAATGTCCGACTTTCACTCAACGATGCGATGCATATCGCCCAGTGCAAGGTAATACAAGGGTTGATAGATTTGAACGATTTTTCAAGAGAACTTCAGTTTAGTGTTACTTACCGAACTTTTTTCAGAGTTCTAACTCCAAAACCACAAGTCCAGCAGACTCTAGATATCCGACAAACTCGGACCAAGGCAAAGAATGCCATAAAACTGCTCCTGATTAACAGTGTTTTGTTTGCAGTTATAGTTTTCGATATGTAAGAATTTTTAATCTCAATTAAATGTTTATTTTCGCTTGATATGAATTTCATGTGATTTCATCTTAGATGCTATGGTGGAATCGCTTACAAGCCATTTTGCTATTTTGAATGGTTCCTGGCATCCTTATTTGCCCTTAACTCTTTGTATCATCTGATCACGTACACAATAGCAACGTGGAGCCTGAGGCCCGTTGTTTTGACTGTGAAGCAAAGAAAACTTTTGGGAATATCTGATGATGATCCACTTTTTCAAAATGAAATTCCTGCACCCAAAAAAAATTCAGAGCCCAGCACGCCACTTAATTTTTCTCACATGAATCTGAGTAGAAACTCGAGTGTTCTTGGAACTTCCGCTCTAAATGAAAGCAGTGAGTTTTTATCTTTAAAATGTGTCAGTACTTTTTTTACGGTTTTTTATAATTTTTTTAGAGGATTACTCTGCATCTAGTCCATTTTCAAAATACGGCAGTTTGTCATCAAGAAGATCAACAAGTGCAAACGTTTCTTTTAACAAGTCTTTTAACAGCTCTATGAATGCTAGTTTTGCTAATGAAGATCTCATACAGGATGAAGCTGGATTGGAGAAATTCTTGAAAGAAGTTTCCAAAAAGGATGGAAAATCAGTATCTCACACAGCTAATGTTGACCAACCTTCTAACTTATTAAGTTCTTTCTGGTCTCATCCTGCAACACACAGTCCTGGAGAAGTATCACCTTTACTGAAACGATGTGCCTATCAACTGGCACCCATAATTGGTAATTCATATTTTTTTTTTTTCCATGAGATCTGTAATGTTTTAAAGAATATAAATAAAAATATTATTCAACTAGTTAGTCATAAATTTCTGTTCTATAAAAATATTTTTTCTTTTTTTTTTTTAGACAAGTCAAAATCTTCTAGTCCAGGTGTAGAAGAAGGTAGCTCCCCAAGGTCATTTGGCACATCTGATATTTGGAGGAAATATAGACTTGATCCGACTAGAGTTAACCAGTGGACAGCTAATTTAAGAATGGTAATTTTTGCTTAGAATTTCAAAATATTTGATTCTTTATATTTAAAATTTGTTTTTCTAGTGGATTAGTAAAACTGTAGTTGAAAGAGTGTCTGCAGAAATTGATAATGTATCTACTAGCCTAATCCGTCATGGTCTTAGCGACTCTCAACCAGGACACGTTGGTTTGGATAAATTAAGAAAACTTGCCCAATCGTTTTCAGTAACTGTCATACCTACCTTACCTCCTCTTGTTCCTTTTCTTGAATTATCAAGCAACCAAGATTATCTAGTGAAAAGAATTAAGATTCTAGCCAAAGGTGGTTCTATGAGCGAATTTAAATGGAATAGTGGAGGATCATATAATGGAAAGGAATGGGATGCAAGCCTTCCCACAGATACGGCAGTAATGTCTGATACATTCAGTTTTGTTAACTTTTTTGAATTGAACTAACCAAAATAATTTTCTAGATTATTATGCATTTGTTTTCAACGTACATGGATACTCAACTTGAAGCTCCCTTGAATCAACCTGATGCCAGACCTTTTACATCAATGTATACCGCCAAATCGACATGTGAATTACCTCGTAGTAAAGGTCCGATAATTGTAACTCAATCGGTCAATCCACCACATTATTGCCTAGCTCTTTCTGGAGATTCACTATCTCATGATTTCGAAAATATTCCTGGGGTAAGTAAAGAAATTCATATCCCATTCATCAAGAGTAATACTTGTGGTAAATTAATGTTATGATTTTCATTTTACGTACAGGGAAGAAATAATTTTTTTCACACGCTTTTGCTTTTCCTGTATATTGTAAAGACTCGAGATCATGGAATGCTTGGTCGTGTCAACCTTGGAATGTCTGGTGTAAACGTTATGTGGGTCATAGACTAAACTGTGTAATGAGTTGTTTTTTATTAATTATTTATTAAAAGACATTTTCTTTTTTTTTTTAATGAACATGATTGTTTTCCGTGCCGTTGCTGTAAAAATTAATATTATTCTTAGAAGAAAAAAAACCTGTTTTGAACAATTCTCTTAAAATTAGAAAATTTTTTGATGGATAACATGATTCGCTGTTTCTTATTTATCGAATCGGTCTGTACTTTTCATTTATTTATCAAACAAAGCTATTTGGCAAATAAGGCTAGAGTAATGTTGAAAACGAAAAATATTTTTGTATCGAACTGTACTTTTTTAAGCTTAGCAAAAGCAATTTACAAAATAAGTTGAGAGTTTCTCAAAGACATTTACTTATATATAAAATAAGTCTCGTAGCCAACTTCTAGCAGAATGAAACAACGATGTACAAATTTTCCTAACAGTATAATAAATCCAATTTAGTTTCTTAAACTTTCGTTACTATTTTTATAAAAACAAATATTCCTAAAAATTTTTTTAAATCAAATCTGTCCCACTAGTATTTCTTCTTCGTATCTATAACGTTGCAACAGATGTTATATTGTCGTCGTAATAATATATATGAATACATATGGATGTATACATTGTTTTCCCAAAAAATGTATGCGTGCGGCTACGCGGGCGTGTGTGTAAGTACGTGTACGTATAATGTATAAGGAAATCAGTTGGATCTTAGATCTCAGGATTTCTGAGAACGATTTCTGTTTAAACTTTTTTCGTTTCCCCATAATAATTTGCGTTACAAAATACAATATTTACCTTTTTCTTTTGATTTTCATTTTTCTCAAAAATTTATTTTCAAAATTCAATATGATCCCAAAGTAATTATGATTTCTAGAAAAGTTGAAAAAAGGTATTTATTGATTATCAATGATATAATAATTACAATCGAAGGAAAATTAATTCAAAGAAATAGCCTTTGCCCTGTTCTTGCACGGCCGTTTAAAGCGTAAATAACCAAAGTTAAAAACACTCAAGCTAGGAAACATATTTTCCATTGCTTATTTGTAATCGGCAATAAATAATAATAATAATTACCCAAAAAAAAAAAACACTTTGTCATAAAATTAGAGCGAAAAATCAACAAAAAAAATCGCAAAAAATACAAGATTGAGAAATCTTTGTGCCGAGTAATGATTGCCAGCAGTTTATACCTGTTCTGACGCAAGTTCACACCACACCTATATATCCTCCGATACCAGGCACCTAGATGACTTATTGTAACAAAAGTTAAAGGTGTGCTAAGTTTACCGCTGTTAGTTTGCTTGGGTTTAGCCAGACAAGTGTCGCAATTTCAAAAAATTACATTAAAAAAGTTGACGTTGAAAAAAAAACAAAAAAAAAAAAAAAAAAAAAAAAAAAACTATACTATTGATAATAGCTGTGTGCATATTTGAGATTGGTCAACTTGTTGGAATGATAAAACAATTTTTATGAAAAAAACCTGTTTATTAAAAGTAACTTATTTAATTGGAATTGAGGGCATTATTATTATTTTTTTTTAAATTAACGAGAGCACATCAAAAATGTAAAATCGCCGAGCCGATCGATAATCAACAGATACACCGAACGACTTGTCTTTCCATACACTACACATGCGACCAATTTATTTTTAATTACCGCTCAAAGCGACACGCGAAAAAAAATGTAATCGCGATTTTTTATCCACATCGAACAGGTACATGTCACATGCTTTCTGCGACGGATAAAATTTCTTTATGCAGCTCAACTTATGTGTATATATGCGGCGCGGAAACGTAACACGCGAGAGTATCCCCGTGACAAAAGACGCATTAATAAGGGCGTGCATCCTGTAACATGCACTTGGTCATTTGATACACCCGTTTCAGTAGAAAATATATAATATATTTTCAATAAACGATGCTCGCCAACGAATGCAAAAACATTCTGCCTGTTGTACATGTATCATACAAATAACTCAAGGGAATTGGAGAAAAAAAAAAAAAAAAAAAAAAAAAGTTGTCACAAGACGGCAGGTATACTTGTGCTGTACACTGAGCCAACGTCAATCTGCTCATCTGTCCGAATGGAGGGAGCATATCATCCACATCGGGACAGATAAAAGTGTACAACAAAATAGACTATCCTCGTAAGTTACATATACCTATACGCATTGCCAAGAGAAGCTGCATATTATATGCACGTATATATACACCCATTGAAGAGAGGGTCAGAGGAGCGAAATTAACGAAGAACGGAGAGCAGCCTCTCTCGCGCGCGCGTGGGTGTTCCGTCGCTCGCGCGTCCTGCTCTCCGCTCCAGCGACTCCAGTCTCGCTTCGGAGTCCGGAGCAGTCGAACGCGCGCGCCACAACATAAATATACGTATACAGCTCGTTATAGCTGATGCACCAGAGTTAAATGGACACACCAAACGCCCACGGTTACTCTCACCACCCCAGGAGAAGACCCTTGAAAATTTATATGTTGTTTCATTGCCGCGCACGGGTGTATTTTTTATTTTAATTGTAGACAAGAAAAAAAAACAACAACAACAGCCCCGATCTCCGTCGCTCTTTTTTGGGATAAGGATACTTACTCCTTCGGGCAAGTTGTGGGGATAAATACGTGGAAAAAGAGGATCGGCAGTCCCGCGCTTTGGCCGAGGATGCAGCAGTGCCGGAGATGAGGACGATGCTGTCGAAGAGACGAAGACGAAGGTGGGATAGAAGCAGCATCAGGTGAGGCGACTACGAGGAAGAAGCAACAAGGAAACGCGCTCCAGCGTCAGCTGCAACTGCAACTGTATACACGTGTATTTATACGTATAGATACGCACACCTATGAGGAGCTGATGCGCGCCCGGAACAGGGACGCCTCCCCCCCGACCCGCGGGGCTAGCGACTGCACCACGATACAGTGACCCGCCTATCGGGACAGGTGAGTTTCGTTGAATTGACACCTGATGCAAGCTCCATCAGTGCTTCGTCCCGCACCTTTTTATCCTTATGTATGTACTCGCGCAAGTACAGCTCGTATTTTTATATTAGATTTCGGATGACGCGCTGCGGTTATTCTACAAAAGTGCAGGGGTGTTACATACCGATGCGTATATACCACCATCTGTGACCCTTTTTTTTTTTTTTTTTTTTTTTTTTTTTTGCACGTTTCTCTTCGCGTGCGAAATTTTCGCCCAAGGAAGTGTACCTCTTTTGCCCGGTAATTTGAAAGTTGGCCCTTTTTTTTTTTTTTTTCCCCTCGTACGTGGCGCCTTTTACGAGGGGGAAAAAAATGACCGTACGTCCATGGCTCGGGTAATATTTAGAGCTGCGAATAAAATGTTTCAAAAGCAGCGACGAGTACTTCTTTTTTCCTCCTTTTCACGTTTTATTGCACAATATTACATGTGCGCGATAAAGATGATAACGATGATCCAGGTTTATCGTATTACCTTTAATACGAGTGTTTTTTTTTTTTTGTTTTTTTTGTCCTCGTGATCATGGGTTGTTTCCGAAACTAATTATTCCCGTCGTCGACTTTATTATCATCATCATGATTGCCTTTGCCATTTGCCGTAAAGCGTGAGTGTGTACACCAAAAAGACGTAAAAAGTCTATGGCTGTATAACATGATGATATGTATACGTATAGTATAGACACGCGCAGGTGTATATTATGGTGCACGTGTACGCGCGTAATGTCAACTTTATATTTATTTATTTTTATTTTTTCCTCAAAATTCCCCTTCGTTTGCTCGCGCGTTCGTGCGTCAAAGTTCATTATTAAGCTTACGACGCGA